TATGGAGTGTGTTATGGAATGAATCACAATGTTAGTACGATACAATGAACGAGACATACTGTAATAATATTTGCAATAATTCAATTTTTTGTTTTATTTGTTTTATTTTATTAATTAAAAAAAAGCACAAAATTACTTCTCTGCCTTTTTCGTCTTTGCTGAAGCCTGCTGCGCTTTCATAACCTTATAGACGATCTTTTGCTCCTCGATCAGAAACGCACGCACAATCCTGAAAATTAGAAGCAGTTCGTTACAAATATTATATAAAATGTAATGTAGGACTTATTACATTTTTATTTAGTAAAATAATGATTAATCCTGTTTTAAAGACAAATAATTGCTAAATAATCACAAGACAAATAATAATCCAGTGAAAGAATATTCAAAATACAAGAATTTTAAGAGATACTTTTGTTAAATACCTTTCTTTTACACATTTGTGACAGAGGACTCCACCGTACACGCGCTTGACTGTCTTCTTACGTCTGCACATACGTGAACGTTCCATCGGTCTTGCGGGTTGGATACCCCTGAGCTTATCCTTACATTGTCCACACCTTGGGATCTTCTTGGGTTTCTTCAAATATTGGTAGACTAATTTACCACCCGGTGTACGTACACTGTAAACAGGAATTTACCTCACTCAGTTCTTAATAATTGTATTTATGTAGTAATTTAGAAAGTTTGCCGAGAAACAGTTACTTTAATGTGACAGTTCTAGATTTAGTCTTCTACTTTGAAGAATGTAGACTACATATTCGCAGTAATTATAGTTAAATAAACAATAAGAGCAATAATTTAAGTTTAATGTTACTGTGCCTTGCATGTGAATTCAATGCAACTTGGAGCAAAAGTTCAAAACATAACCTCAAACTCTTGCTCAAGAGTTAACCGCAACACGCTGCGCTCAAAAAATTTCATTGCAAATGAAAACTAACGAAATCTTGCTTGAAATTACCATCAATTTGCGTTGATACTTACACACGCCTTCTATTGCTTTTTGTGTTGTACGACAAGCGTCGCCGATAGGTTAGTCGCTGCACCATTTTGGTTCTACAATGTAAAATTATTTCGTCAACGAGAGAAATTGAATTATATAGGATTGTGACGTATAATGGATTGCCGCAGATCTCCGCGGAGATCGCATGACGTTAATGCATCTTACGATTGATACGCACAACGTGGATATTATAAAATTATATGAAAACACCACAAACCTTACTCAGATCCAAACGGAAAAGGAAACGGCGTACGTCGAGAAGGGCGAGAAGGAGACGCTTTTACGCGTAGTGATCAACTGTTGCCATCTGTCGGCTTAAAGATGATCCAAGTTAATACTGATGGTAATGAATATCTACAATTGGATATCTATTTGTCGGTACCCAGATAACCAAGATATATCGGATAAATTCTATTTCATGTTTTCTTAGATGGTAAATGTCTTTAAAAAAATTAATTTAATTTTTTTCTTTAATTTTTGATTTCTTATAAGAAATTATTTTCGTTATGGAACAGAACCGAAGACTATATGTATAATATGTATACGTAGCGGTAACATATCCACGATCTTCTTTGAATTGTATTGTGTATCATTTATACAAATTCATAGTATAAAATACATATGAATTGAATAGATGCAACGGAAAAGAATTCCTTATTCAGAATATGTTTATAAGCTATATGTTATAGTATATTAACACACTACAAGTTTAAAATTCTATAATATATATGAATCATAATCTTATAATTATAGCATTTGTTAAGCCATTGTTTCTTGCTTAACGGCTGGAATAAAAAATTGTAGGATTAGAAAATTAATTAGCTAATAAATAGCGAATAATTCTCTGCAAAAATAGTAAATATATTTATTAATTTATTATTAATTATATATAATTATATCGTTTTATATATAATATATTATACATATATAATTATATTGTTTTATACATATTTATACAATATGTATTTTTATATATGTTCTTACACAAAAAATGTTTTACCGGGTTTGATAAAAAATAGAACTGCTTGTACATCTTTCTATAATTACATATGTCGAATCTATAAACGTTATATATACATATTTGTTCGTATTCCTAGAACGCGCCTATAAATAGTATTTAGCGTATAATTCACGTTACTGTATATATAGTACAATTTATGTTACATATATTATAGAATCTCAGGAATAGAAATGATGGAGCGCATTTATTGATAAAAGTGAGGTAAAGATATACGAATTATATGTATTATATGGAATTTTAAACTTGTTGGCGCGCTACATATAGCTTATAAACATGTTCTGAATACGGAATTGATTTTTTCCATTGCATCTATGAATTTCATACGTATTCTATAAATTATTCTGTAAATTTATATTAATGTACAGTGTACACACTGTGTAACATCCCAATGTGTGCGTGTGCGTGCTATTACTGCCGATGCGACCACGTCGGAGTCCGACAAGCAAAAAGCATCCTACTTTGTAGCGTTCTGCTTATATACTCGACTCGAGTAGCTAGTGCGCTCCAATCAGAGCGCTTGACGTGCGGAGTAGCGGAATGCTACGCGACGGAAAGATTTTTGCTCTGTGGGACTCCGATATGTCACGTCGGCACTCAGCGCCATTCGGCGCGCTGCGTGGCCGCATGAAATGGGACTATAGGGAGCGCGCGGACCATGGAGAGAGACCGCCTCACCGCCCGTATCAATTTTCGGCGGACGATTAAGAGTAAGGGCGAGATGCCAATATAACTGGCGCGCAATAAGATAATAACTCACGAATGTGATTGCCGGGGCGGTCAGATCCGGAAGTCGAAACAATCGGCAATGACTTGGTTTCTATATATAAAAACTGTCTGCTGTTTGAACTTCATTCATTTAAATAAATTAATAGTTATTTTTCCTATATGCTTTAATTATGATCGTTTTTAGAAGGAGCTACTCGTGCAATTAAATAATTATTAAGGCCGATATCGAGGAACATGTATTTTATATTTCGTAATAATCGGGACTATCGGGAGGAACATGTATTTTATATTTCGTAATAATCGGGACTCGGGACTGCCGACGCGATCACGTTGGAGTCCCACAAGCAAAAGCTTTCTCATTTCGTAGCGTTCCGCTTATATACCGACTCGAGTAGCCAGCGCCGCGCCAATCAGAGCGCTTGGTGGCGGTGGCACTGCAGCTACTATATATACGGCGCGTAAGCCGCCGCGCGCGGCATAAGAAGTCCAGTCATTTCACGACTCACATCGAGCTCGGGCGCTCGGAGGAGCGTTGCGTCGTTGATCGTGCAAAAAGATGACGTAGCTCAGTAGCTATAATGATCTAGGATCGCAGCAGTCGTAATTCATTAAATCCCAGGAGTAAATTTTTTGGTACGCTCTAAGAATTTCTTTATCGTTAATTGCGTAATTAAGATAGCGAAGCCGGCGAAGCGGCGCAATGCATTTCGCGTGCGGTCAGCTCACGCGACACAAGCGTGGCAACGCGTCGGCGGCGACGCTATAATATATGCGTTCTACTTTTAACTTTACGTCTATGCATTTTCCGCATTACGAGTAATAAATACTATATGTATATTCCACTATATGTTAACATATACATAACACGAAATTAAGAGTAAAAATGCGGATCGGCGCCGCTGCACCGCGTCGCTTTCGGCACGTGAAGGCCGTGAAGTTGACCCATCGGAAACGAAACACTTGAATGACGCCGCAACTCTTTTAATAGACAAGCGATAATTATATCAATATTGCATTTAATTCATGTAATATAGATTCGACACTTGCACTCTGATTCGATCGGATGCGTATTTCGCAATACTCATTCGACCGAAAATCGAAATATGTAGCGACGCGTCGCCGCGCGCCGCTGTTGCACCGACGCCGCCGCAGCGCGTATGGTGGCGCTATTGCACATGAAGTCGATCGCGCAAAGAGACGAAACCGCTTGACTATTGTAGCGTTTCCTTTATCATTTCAGAGAATTCGATACGAGAACGAGATAGATCATCTTCGGAACGAGAGGCATCGCGGCTAATATAATTGGTAAGTGGGACTTTGCATTTTTTAACATGTATAGCATTGCCGCACTATCGCCGTCGCCACCGCTGCCGACCCGCGTCGCCGCGACGCTTGTTTCACGTAAACTGATCGCGTGGCACGCGGGACAAATTGCTCCGCTTCATTATCTTAATTACGCATTTATCCATAAGTATGGCATACGTTACATACACCGAACATATGGATAAACGCATAACTAAGATAGTGAAGCGGCGTAATTCGTCCCGCGTGCCGTCAGTTTGCGCGAAACAAGCGTCGCGGCGCGGGTGACGCGTCGGCGGCGGTACACGTCTTGATTTTCGGCCGAACGAGTATTGCGATTACGCATCCGATCGAATCAGAGTTCGAATGCCGAATCTATATTACGCGCTAATTAGATGTAAGATTGATCGGATGCGTATTTCGCAATACTCGTTTGATCGAAAATCGAAATATGTAGCGTCGGCGTCGCCGCGCGCCACTGTTGCACCGACGCCGCCGCAGCGCGTACGGTGGCGCTATTAGCACGCGAAGTTGATTGTGCGGATAGACGACACCGCTTATCATTTTAGTATAGCGTTCCTTTTTTTATAATTTCAGAACTCGATACGAGATAGATCATCTTCGGAACGAGAGGCGTCGCGGCTAATATAATTGGTAAGTGGGACTTGTATTTGTCTGACATGTAGCATCGCCGCGCTATCGCCGTCGCCACCGCCGCCGACCCGCGTCGCCGCGACGCTTGTTTCGCGTAAGCTGGTCTCACGTGGGACGAATTGCTCCGCTTCGCTATTTTAATTACGTTAACGCATATACGTGAAATAAAGAATAAGATGCGGAGCGACGTCGCCGCGCCGTGCCACTTTCGGCGCGTGAAATTGGCCGCGCCAGAAACGAAGTACTTGCGTTATTTAATTTAATCGCATTCATGTTTCATTTGCAGGACACGATAGACACGGAACGGACCAGCTCTGGTACAAGTGATGCCACGATTCTCTTAATTGGTAAGTAATACTTGTATTAATCTCTCATTAATCTGCAACTGGTGTAATATTGATTGGGCATTTGCATGCTGATAAATCGGTTGAACGCGTATTACGTAATACTCATTCGGCTAAAAATCAAGCCATATGTAACGTCGCCGCGCTATCGCTGCCGCCGTTGCCGCGAAGCTCATTTCGCGTAAAGTTAATCACGCGCGAGACGAAGCACGCTCCTTTGCTATCTTAATTATATTAATGTTTTAATTGCAGGACGTGATGGATACAGAACGCAACGATTGCGGAACAAGTACCGTCGCGAATCATATATTGGTAAGTGCAAAATTTACGTTGAATTTCGCACACTTTGATTTTTTGTTGTCGTTGCTATTAAAATCTATAGGTGCCCGGTTTTTTTGCCGATGAGTATATTAATCAGTCAATGAATAGACAAATAAATCAAATTGCGAGCTGTACTGCGAACATAATTACTTCATTTACTATATGAAATGAAGTAATTGTTTGCTGCACAATAGTACATCATTTTGGATCTATGTAATAATAGAGTACTGTTCTTAATATAGTAGCATGTAATTGAAAACTAATGAGATTATAAATTTATAATTATTTAAAAAATATATGTATTTAATTAAAAAATGAAAATGTTCGAATTCGTAAGAATTATCTTTTGAAATATTAAATTTTCTGAACTTTGTTTTAATTTGAATCAGGGGACTTGATAATCCAAATATTCAACAAGGA